TCCCCTTGTGTGCTGCCTGCGGCACCTACAGATGTTCTCTGTTGGGTTAGAGGAAACCTAGGGCAGATTTAGGGGAAGAGGGGAATGGGAAGTACCATTGCAGTTGCAGACATTGTTCTCCGCATGCAATTATTTAGCTGGATGCAACCCAACAGAGGTGCCAGCTTGTGAAGGCAACTGTTGTTGGGGAGGGGCAACATCACACGTGTGACATTACAACATGACTTCAGGGTGTCTAGAGGAGCCAGGGGCGGACCCAAATGTGGTAGCCATGTGGCACAATGGCCAGTGGTTCCACCTCCACCACCTCTTCTTGGTACTGCCCTTGGCGGGAGGCTTTTTTGAACCTCCTTCACCACCATAGGAGGAGGAGCCAGATGCTGGAGGCATGCCACACTCAGCTCCACTCTTCAACTCCATGCTTTTGAGGCCTGGAGGGGCCCAGCCCCTACGCCAAAAATATTGTTGTTGTTTAGTCGTTTAGTCATGTCCGACTCTTTGTGAGCACGCCAGGCATTCCTGTCTTCCACTGCCTCCCGCAGTTTGGTTAAACTCATGTTAGTAGCTTCGAGAACACTGTCCAACCATCTCGTCCTCTGTCGTCCCCTTCTCCTTGTGCCCTCCATCTTTCCCAACATCAGGGTCTTTTCCAGGGAGTCTTCTCTTCTCATGAGGTAGCCAAAGTATTGGAGCCTCAGCTTCAGGATCTGTCTTTCCAGTGAGCACTCAGGGCTGATTTCCTTAAGAATGGATAGGTTTGATCTTCTTGCAGTCCACGAGACTCTTAAGAGTCTCCTCCAGCACCATAATTCAAAAGCACCAATTCTTCGGTGATCAGCCTTCTTTATGGTCCAGCTCTCACTTCCATACATCACTACTGGGAAAACCATAGCTTTAACCACCAAAAATATAAGGGATCTCAAAGGGGCTGCAACCCAATGTACCTAAGGCCCTCCAGATGCTGTTGGAATACCACTCTTACCATCCCTGACCATCAGCCATGTTGGTTGAGGCTGATAGGAGTCCAACAATGTCTGAAGGGCCACAGTTTCTCTGCCTTTGCCTTTCACAATCATTTCATATGACTTTGAGAAGGTTCTTGATTTTCAGAAAGTTGGTAGCACTGTAGTTCCTTTAAAAAGAAAAACACCCGAAACATATTTTTTTTTAAAGCAACTCCTTTTCCAAAGCAAGAAAGCAAGGTTACGAATGTTTAAAAGTTTTGACAACCTACAGCAAAGAACCTATCCACTCATTGGAGAGTTTCTACTTCATTTAAATCTATCGCCAAAAAGAGAGAGAAATTCTAGGAAGAAATAAAATATGATGACTTAAAAATACATTATTTATGACAAATTATTTTCTCAGTTCTGATGGTATATTTAGATAGATCAGATTGGCTAATACCTTCATCTTTTCTTCTTTTTTTTCCACAAGGATATATGCTGACTGCGTATTGTCACCGAAGGGAATTTTCAAAGATGCACCGAAAACTTCCTTTGCAACATAAAACAGAGAGCTTTGCACAATCACTGCTATTCAATTTGCTCTTATCTATAGGCACTGAGGAAAAACATGCATAACAGAAGAAGCTAGAAATGTTTATGAAGCCAAGAAATATCTTAAGAAGGGGGGAGAAAGGTTTTAACTAGGTTTTTAGAACTTATCACCCACTCCACCCCTGTGGCAGCCAGCTATCTGAAGCCCATAGGGAAAACAGGCCGTCTTCCCATTCACAATAACATCAAAGCCTTTTAAAATATATTAAAAGAATTAATTTGCTCTTTTTCTATTTCCCAATCCAGCAAGGCCTTTCCCACTCTATATGATTCTCTGCATTTTTCAAACTACCCCTCTATGCTCGTTCATTTCCAGCAGTGCACATTTTCCATACGACTACTGATGGAAATGCGATATGCGGCGGTCCAAGCAAATGCATTCTTCACCCAAGCCCTACACATCTAAAGATAAGGGAGCATGATCCAGGCAGTGGATTAAACACAGTTAGGTGCCACTGATTTCAATAGGAGAGAGTTAACACAAGGCATCAAAATCAATGAGAATAAAACGGACGCTGCTGCTAGCTTTGACTTGATCATACATACTTTCTCTTGTCTGTACAAATAAGTCACCTTGGCTATTCTTACTCAAGCATTTGTGTTACAATACAGTGAGCCAAAACAAAACAAAACATTGACATATTCACAGAACTGATATTAACAGTGTAATTTCAAATTATTTACTTTAAAAATGCTTCTTGAAAACTTATGTTTTTTCATTGTCCTATATTGAATGATTTTTGGCAGAAGGCAACTGAAACTATCAACATAACGGTATGGAACAACCTTCCATTTACAGAGCAAAATATCCTCTGAAATTATATACCCGGCACATGGGACCTTACAAAAGGACAACATGAGTGGACTCTCTGTGCCCTCACCACAGCAAAAAGACTAGTCCTGATAAATTGGAAAAACAAAAATGTGGCTCCCTTCTACGATTGGATTGAAGGCTTATATAATCTCACAACATATGAACAACTTGCTTACAAAGGCAGACTTGCCATGGACAAATTCAATGGTATTTGGAATCCATTCTTACAAATACTGTAATAAATTAAGGCCTGGTGAAGTACAATAACAGCCTTGTAAAGTATAGTTTACAAGGCACTCCCTCTCTCCCCCTTTATTTTCCCTTCTACACAGGTTCTGTTTCTCTTTTTCTCTCTTTTATTTACGTCTCACTATGTTTAGTGCACATATAATTATGTACTTTTTGAACTTTCAATAAAGATTAAAAAAAATAAAAATACTTAAAAGGCACTCTAATTTCAGTTATGTTTCTCCCAGGAAAACATACAGAGGATTGCAGCCTAATCCTCCTTTAGCAGTAATGAAACTGGGTGCAAAATTCCTTGCAGAAAGGAGTAGTATGCACATGCAGGTGAGAGCTCTGTGCAAATGTGGAGATTTGCACTGCAAATCAGGGACTGCCAGGGACTGGCTGGATGCAGAAGTGGAGGCAGGCAGCAGCTGGGGAACCCCCAAGGGAAGAAGGCTCAAAGCCAAGGGAATGGTGTTGGAATGACAATGTGCCATCAGAGGGAGAAGGGGCAAACTGGGAAGAGGAAGACGTGTCGGAAGCTGAAGAGGTAACTGTTTACTGAGCAGGAAGAGGCTGTGGCAAAGAGCAGCCCAGAAGCAGAGACAGAAGCAGAAGTTGGTCAAGACGTAGAGTTGAGATAGGCTGCTGAAGAAGCCAGGGAGTCTCCCCCTCCTGCTGCGACCAGCTTCCCTCCCAACTGGTCTCCCAGAACACAGAGAGAGATGAAGATGATGGAGCAAAGAGAGACAAGAAATCGGAGTCTTAGGCTGATATGGGAAGGAGTCTTAGAGAACGGTGGGAAAGTTGGGACCTTCTGTCGTTGTAGCTGGCTCCTTGGAGCAAGACCTGATACTCAGCTATATATCTGCAAATAAAACGTTTTAAGTGCAATATACTAATGTGACACTAGATGGCGATAGTGAGCCTTATAGAAAATTCAATGTATTTTTAAAAAACACTTTTTTAAAAAAAGCATTGTCAGAACTTTTTTTAAATATTTCACCCTCCTGGGCAGAGTTGCTGTGATCACTAGGTCTGCGCTGTTTTGGTTACTTTGAATAAAGCAATGACTTCACTGACACCAGTGTTTTTTTGTTGCTGACCTGCTCCTGACAGTTTGCTACAAGAGCTGCAACAGGATGGTGATCCACGGCACTCTTTCGTTGCCTCACTGGGTGTCAAACCTGCTGCAATAAACGCATCAAAGAAGAAGAAGAAGAGTTTGGATTTCATATCCTGCTTTATCACTACCCTAAGGAGTCTCAAAGCGGCTAACAATCTCCTTTCCCTTCCTCCCCCACAACAAACACTTTGTGAGGTAAGTGGGGCTGAGAGACTTCAGAGAAGTGTGACTAGCCCAAGGTCACCCAGCAGCTGCATGTGGAGGAGCGGGGACGTGAACCCGGTTCACCAGATTATGAGTCCACCGCTCTTAACCACTACACCACACTGGCACCACAAAGGAAGCCCTGGATATTTGCTTGAACTGCATTTATTCTGCATGTGTTTATAACTTCATTGTGCCACGGTAAAACATATCCAGCATTGTGTTAGATGTACATCTGAAGTCACAGAAATGTCCACCACATGAAGACCCAGTGTTCCCTCTTAGAATCACAGAATCATAGAACTGTAGAGTTGGAAGAGACCCAATGGTCTTCTAGTCCTGCAATGCAGGAATCTCGACTTTGGAGGAATGGAACCTTTTGAGTAGAGTCAGGATGTATGTCCATTAAGAATGTGTGCATATACTTTAAGCCCCATGCCTACTAAATAACTTGTCACACCAGGAAATAGAAAAAAAGATTGGTTTATTACACAGAGATGAAAGGGACAGAGTATATGGGTGCTGTTTAAGACAATAAGGTTACAAATATGTGAGCGGCAAATAATCATTCAGTGCATACACACAACTTAGTCCTAAAGATTGAAAGAGTCCCTAAGTACCCAAAAGCCTAGAGAGGAAGAATAGCAATGTACCACAGTAAAAGGAAGACTAGGGGAGGGATATACCTAGTCTTGGAGCAAGATAACAACAGCAACAACAACTTATTATTTATACACCGCCCATCTGACTTGGTTTTCCTATTCGCTCTGTGCGGCTCCCGACAGAATATTAAAAACACAATAAAACATCAAACATTTTAAAATTCTCTATACACGGCTACCTTCAGATGTCTTCTAAAAGTCAGGTGGTGGTTTATTTCCTTGACATCTGGTGAGAGGGCGTTCCAGAGGGCCCTCTGCCTTGTTCCCTGTAACCTCACTTCTTGCAGTGAGGGAACCGCCAGAAGGCCCTAGGAGCTGGACCTCAGTGTCCGGGCAGAACGATGGGGGTGGAGATGCTGAGAACAAAGTGAGGAATTTGAGTTCTGTGCCATCTGCAAGAGTTAAGTTCAACTGAAATCTCTCACCCATTCCTTTGGTTCAGAGTCCGGCAAAGTGTAGGGCTGATTCTTGAGACACTGAGGAGCAAAAAAAGGGGTCTCGTTTGACCTGCAACAAAAGTTGTTGTGTTGTTGTTCAGTCAGCCAATTGTGCCCACTTTCAGGATATGCCATTCCATCCATCTTTTCCTATTTTGTCCACTCCAACCCAATGGTAAGCAAACATTCAATGGCCTCTTCACATCCACAGTCTTTAATGAGCTGGATTTCCCCCCCCCCTATAATTTTTGCTTTGTACTTCTGCAAACCTTGGGGTATGCTTAGTTCGCTGATACCTACTTCTTGTGTGGGGGGATGGAACCATTTTGACTACATAAGGATTCACAGTCAGAGAACAGAGTTCATTGTTTTTATATATAATGGCTATATATAAAATGGTTGCACAAATGGTTATTTTCATCCTGTGTTCTAGTAATTCATAAATTCTATATTTTTAACAAAATAATTCATGTGAATAAATGCCAAAACCAGAAAGGGAAGCACGTCAACAAGGGGCAAAGAACTTGGGCATCTGAAAGCTGATATCCAACTCTCTCTCTCTCTTTAAAGCACAGATAAATTTGAATCAGCAAATGCTGTCCATCATCTTAACACTTGGACACAAAATGAGGAGTTATAACAAGCACTGGTTGAAGTGGGAAAAGCTGAATGTGATGGATTATCCAGCTGCAAAAACAGACTAGAAAAGTGCTACAGAGCACTCACCTTACTGAATTTCACCTAATAAACCACATGTACATACTGTGCAAAATATTGTTGGATTTCAAAGCATCATGGCTGCGTGCTGTTTTAATCATTCATGATGAACATTTGGTACTTTTTTAAATGTATGAGGTGATTCATATTACTTATGAATAGATCTCTCTCTTCTTTTCTGCCCTTAAAAAAAAAATACTAAAATAAGGTAGATGGGTGGGTTAAATAAAGTGGACACGCGAGTTAAAATCAAAGAGCAAATGAAGAGGTTTTGGAATGCAGGGGGATAAAGAATTCAATTAACCATTAAAAAAACAATTCTCCACTGTGGGTGGTAGACTAACAGTTGCTGGAGGGAGAATTGCTGTTGCGTTCAGGTCCTGCTATTGGGTTTCCCATAGGCATCTTGTTTGCCACTGTGACAACAGGACGTGCAACTAGATGGGCCACGGGCCTGATGTAGCAGGATCTCCTTATGTTCTTAACCCTGCGATCCAGTAGACTACATGTGCAGCTGAACCCTACTATCACCTATGGCAGGGACTGACTTTGGTAATCTTTCATAATATTGTGTGCAGTGCAAGGCCAAGATTGGTTCCCCCCAAATGGATCTTCTCAGTTACACGCCCCCTCGGCTTGGCACCCTGTGTGACAGAACCACCCACACCGCCGTAAATCCAGTGGAAGCCAAAGGACCACATACACGTTTTTATTTCCAACGGAAGAACAAATAAACCTCAGCTGCACTCACAATAATCACTAGAAGGCAATGACATTTCATCCCGAAAGGTATAGGATGCTAGCCCAGTTAGATAAACATTTAAGATATCAATTAAGCTGGGAGACATGGGATTTCATTAGGCTTACTTCCATTCCAAGCTCACTCTCAACATTTTCAGAACACATAGCAGACTTAAGTCCTGCTCAGCTAGTGCTTCAAGTCCTCTGAGCAAGACTTATTTGGAAAAGGGAGAAAATTACAGTCATACCTTGGGGTACAGATGCTTCAGGTTGTGTATTTTCGGGTTGCACACTGCGCCGAACCCGGAAGTGCCGGAACGGGTTGCTTCCGGGTTTTGGCGCTTGCACATGCGCAGAAGCACTAAATTACGCTTTGCACAGAAGCGCTGAATCGCGACCCACGCGTGCGCAGACACAGCGCTATGGGTTGTGAACACTGCGGGTTGCAAATGTGCCTCCCGCACGGATCACGTTCGCAACCCGAGTGTCCAGTGTATTTAAGACAGTACTGAAAGCAGCCAACCAGACTGTAGTGCAGGTACAGGAAAACTGTGGCCCTCCAGATGTTGTTGGGACTCAACTCCCATCAAGCACATCCAGCATGGCCAATGGTCAGGGATGATGGGAGTCGGAGTCCAGCAACATTGGGGAGACACCCTTGCTATGGAAGATCCAGGATTCCAAAAACAGAAGCTGAGCACTGATGTGTTTTCCTGTTATTTTTATTTATTTTAGTTTGTATGGTGCATTGCTCAAACCTTAGCTTTTTAAATAATAATAATAATACACACCAGAGGTAGAAGCAACCAAGGACCCCTGGACAGTTAAGTCCAGTCAAAAGCGACTATGGGGTGTGGCATTCATCTCGCTTTCATGCCGAGGGAGCCGGCGTTTGTCCACAGACAGCTTTCCGGGTCATGTGGCCAGCATGACTAAGCCACTTCTGGTGCAACAGAACACCATGACGGAAACCAGAGCGCACGGAATCGCCATTTACCTTCCCACTGCAGTGGTATCTATTTAGCTACCTGCACTGGTGTGCTTTCAAACTGCTAGGTTGGCAGGAGCTGGGACAGAGCAACGGGAGCTCACCTCGTCACGGGGATTTGAACCCCTGACCTTCCGATCGGCAAGCCCAAGAGGCTCAGTGGTTTAGACCACAGCGCCACCTGCGTCCCTACTGAGGGCTAAAGATATCCGCTTGGTGGCAACAGCGAAGCTCAAAGATGGCTAGGCTTGCTGGCTTGCTCACTGTCCCCACCCATCGCTTCTCTGAGTTGTGCTGCCATAGCATGAATGCTATTTCAATTTGAACTAGCACTGAATAAAGCAAAATGTGTGGACACAAAGAAAGGCTAACCCATGTCAGTGAGAGGCCATTATGTGGCATGAAAAGCACTGGGAGAAGGGATATGCATGTTAATTCATGGGGAGGAAATGAATTATTTTGCTGTGGTTCACATTTTGGAAGTCCACCTCTTCCCAACACATACAATCATGTGCCTTCTTCACACATTAAGTCTTTTTAAAAACTATTTCCCCCTACCCAGAAATATCTGTGGGGGCAGGGGAAGAGGGGGAAGGCCATGTGTGAAGTGTCTCTTAGTGGACTCTAGGTCTTGTATGCTTCACTTTGTAGTTAGTTGTCTCCTGAGGCACGCCAGAAAGGGCGCTGAGCTCACTACCTACGATGTGATGTTCAGCACGGAAAGAACTTCATCGTGCAGGAGCTTGCGGAAGTGATCTGGCGTGCCAAGGAGATTTTCAAAAAGAGCAGAAGTGATGGGGGAGGGGGGAAATGCAGAATAGCAACGCGCTACATTCATCCTACAGAGATGACAACACCGATTCTTCCCTGTGCGTGTTTTTTATTCAAGGTCTGTTTAAATATTCTTTGGAGTGCTTCTGACGCTAAGCGTCAGACCTAGCATAAATAACAGATGAAGCTCGTTGTCCGGATTAATTTCAGGCTGCTTTTAACACCGCTAGTTCAAATGATCCCAAACTTGCAAACTTCTACCTGTAAATGCTCTGAGAAGTTTTGAGCAGTCAGGTTCCATTGTTCCGATGTTTCAACACTGTCATCGAGGAAGCAAATGGAAATCCCACGGCGCTGACCTTGGAGACGATTCGCGGAGCTGGCCCTTTTGCTGGCGACCGAGAGGGGCTCCTTCAGCAGTCTTGTGCTGAAAACAAAGTAACATCACATATACCCCTGGGAAGCAAAAGAGGGAGAAAAGGAGAAAGAGAGAGAAAGAGAAAGTCTCATCAAGGTGGTGTCTCAAACAAGGAAATGTTTCCATATATAAGGCATGACAAGCAACTTATTTCCACCAATTTGCTGTTTGCTTCTGCGTTGTAGCACCTTTTCCATTCTGTTTTGTTTTAATGTGCTTCTCACGAGAGGGTGCTTGTTAAACCCACTGCCTGGCAGATGCTGTTTTCTTCCTGCAGGTTGCAAGTTGGGAAGCAAAACAGAGGAGGCAGGAGCGGAATCGCGACTATCAATTGACTGACAACAGCCCTTCTCCATTATTCGTGCTTGTAGGCTGCCAAAAAACTAATGTACTTCAGGATATCAAATGTAATTAATTCAGGACCTCAAATCTCTAACATAAATGGTTTCCGGTTTGGGTGGGAGGTCTAGAACAGGAGGGGGGGAGAAAACCTTTTGCACAACTACCTATAATTTGAAAAAAAGGGTATAAATTAAACATTCTTTGATAATAATATGCAATGACAGTATAATCATATGCTAACATTTAATCACCTTTCATATACAATATTACTCTGATTCTTCTTTAAAATTTTATGCTGTATATTGCTGTACATCTTTCTTGCTGATTGATTCCCTTTATTACTCCTGATTTTATTTATGTGGCTAATTTTTTTCTTCTTTTTCTTTTCAATAAAAAAAAAAACTGAAGCATATATTTTAATGAGTAGTTTTGTTCCGCTAACATCTCCCGAATAAGAGAATTCAGCACACCTGCCTAAATAAGATGCTTGAGATCACTGAGGAAAGAAATTGACATTTTACTTTACCCTCAGCATGGAGCCAGGGGCAAAGTTTGATCTGAAAACTTGCAAATTAACCAAAACTGTCACTCAGGAGTTATGGGCCTGAATGCTGCAAAATATGTTCTTTGAAGTCCTCATTTCAGCAAAATTATTAAAAACTTTATATCTAATTAAAATTGTAACTGCATTCCCATTTTTCAAAATCTCTATATCCTGGGGGCCAATTGGGATGAGTGAATCCGCACCCTCCTCTCTGCAGCACACTGAACTGCTCCTACAGCAATATCAGATCATTACCATCTCCCCAGCTGAGAGGGAGCAGCCATTATCATGCAGCATTATTAATCTTCTTGTCTTATCAACTTGCAAATCACAAGCCATTGAGCCTTATGGCATGGTTCTGGGTCCATAGTTATTCATTTTGTAGGTCTACCTAGCCTTTGAGTCTCCTTAATCACCTGAAGATTGTCAGTCTCTTACCTCGGCCTGCCCCTGTGGCCCTTCTCAGTTTCTGTGAAAAGTCCATGATGTTCTCTCAAAAAAGGACCTTTTTATTTAAAGAGAGAGAGAGAGAGAGAGAGAGAGAAGGAGCAGTAAGGAGGATAAATTTCATTAATGGATGTGAATTAACAACCTACTGCCAAGAGCTGACCCTTTCTCCTGACATGTACGTCTAAGTCATTCTTGTCACTCTTTCCCCCATTAATATTCCGAAAAAGACAGGGCATTGAAGAGAATAGAATATGATAGTTCCCTTAAACAGGCACTGTTGACCTTAGGTTGGGGATTTTTCTTTAATTTGCTTTTCTTAAAAAATAAAATATTAATCATATTGGGAAAAAGGCACGCAGGGTTCCTTTACATTTTCAATATATTCCATTTAAAATATTGCATTCATTAAATTAAAGGCATTGAACATTTTGGGGATATTTTTCTGAAGTGCCAAAGGAAAATAGAAATGTAATTTCCATGGGAAAGTAGACGTGACAGGCTAAGGGACCCCGGCGACAACTTTGATATCTCCCACTTTCCGTAAGCAGGGTTCCATAAATACCACTTATGGGGCATTTTGCGTTGTTTTCAATGAGGAAAACTCACCCGCATTAATTAAGGTAACTTTAGACCACTTTGGGAAAGTTATACAGGTATATATTGTAGGCAATACTGTGCACATTTGCACCAGAAGAAAAATCAGAACCAGTAGCGTAAATAAACAATTAATTCAAACTGCGGCAGATATAAACAGAAATGTGGGTTTTAGTTTTTGGGTTTTTTTAAAAAAATGAAAATGTTATTTCACTAGATACTACTCCTGTACCTCACTTTAGCTTGCTTAACGATAACGTTAAGACTTCATTATTGGAATCATATTCATGGAAAAACAATAATATGACATAATGACTTGACAGGAACCTTTGTTCTTTCATTCCATAGTAAAGGTTTGGGGGAGAATTTATTTATTTCTTCTATTTTAGAAGCAGATATAATTGTGGAAGGCGATGTCTGCTGTGGATAAATACATGCTTATTTAATACAGTACATTCTTTTCTTAAGATGTTCAAACCAAAATTTGATACAGACTGAAAATGTGACCAAACCTGCATCTGATTTTTTTTTTAAACTCACCAAGAAAAGTCACTACAAAGTTTGTATGAAGTTCTTAACAAAACATTGGCTGTGGCTGGATAATGTATGAGATGAATAAAAGCAACCGCTTGTATTTCTCGGCATAGCAGTTAGAATGTTGCCGCGTGTGACAAGTGCTGAAATGGCAAGTATAAATGAATTTAAGTTACTTTCTTGTTTCTTAGGCAACGTCTCAAAAAGGGAGCTTAGGAATATGCCCCATATTAAGTCAGGCCATAGGTCCATCTCGCTTTCTATATTATCTGTACTGGGCATTCCACAGTTGAAGCAGGGATCTTTCAAATGGAAAGCATGTGCTAAACCACTGAGCTGACAGCCCTCCCAGGGGTGACCAGAAGCAGGGGCTTTTCTGAGAAATGACTTCGGAACCTGTAGGGATGGAAACCGTGCCCCTCGAGCAGGAGTGAGGAACCTCTGACCTCGCAGGCCTAACTAGGCACAGCTTGGGTCCAAAGCACAATTCAAAGTGTTGATGCTGGCCTATCACATCCTAAATGGCCAAGGCCCTGTATACCTGAAGGAGCGCCTCCACCCCTGTCATTCAGCCCAGACACTGAGGTCCAGCTCCGAAGGTCTTCTGGCAGTTCCCTCACAGTGAGAAGTGAGGTTACAGGGAACCAGACGGAGGGCCTTCTCGGTAGTGGCGCCCGCCCTGTGGACGCCCTCCCATCTAATGTCAAGGAGGTAAGTAACTATGCAATCTTTAGAAAACAGATATGTCAGGCTTCGGGGAATCTGATCCCTCCCACGGTGACAGCCAAGAATCAGAGAAACGATAAAAGTTATTGTTGTTGTTTAGTTGTTTAGTCGTGTCCAACTCTTTGTGACCCCATGGACCAGAGCACGCCAGGCACTTCTGTCTTCCACTGCCTCCCACAGTTTGGTCAAACTCATGCTGGTAGCTTCAAGAACACTATCCAACCATCTTGTCCTCTGTCGTCCCCTTCTCCTTGTGCCCTTCATCTTTCCGAACATCAGGGTCTTTAAAAGTTGTTACCAAGCAATTTATTCAATAATTCACAGAGAGCGATGAAGGAATGCAGCCTTCCCTAAATAATGGCCTTGCTCCAAGTAAAGTCCCACCTCCCTACGTCTCCCCTATTCTACGTCAGCCCTGTGTCGGCTAATCTAAGCTTTCTCCCTCTGAGCTCTCTGTTCTACTACCCTCAATGCACGCCTGGTCCTGGTGGGGATGTCCAGGAATGCTTTCCAAAGACACTGAGTCTTGTCAGCTGTCTCTCCCCTGCTGCTGCTTCTTCCTGTTGTTCCTCTTCCAATATTTCCCAGCTTCTCCCCTCTGCAGCCTCTGAACTGTGCCCTTCTGCAAACCACTGTTCTAAATCTATACTGTCCTCTTGTTCTTGAGAAGGTTCAAGGGAAGGAGGGGGGAACGGTCCCCACCATTCCTCCTCAGTCCAGCCCCTGACAACATCTAATGTTGTTGTTGTTGTTACTTCCCACACAAACTCTGTCACACACCTGATAGCATACATGACTTCAAGTGTGGGGCAGGTATGGGCACAGCCAGAAAGGAACAACGAGGAGCCTAGACCGACAAGCTGCATGCTAACTGGGCTTCTCCATTTCCTAGTGTGAGGAGAGCAACATGTATTCCCACAGGGACGATATGCAGGCTCCCTTTTTGGATGGCAGAAACGAAGTATTGAACATAAAGCACCTCTCACTCATGCTTCCTGATTGAGACCTCAAAGTCAAGGACTTCAATAACACCCCCTTCCTGCCAGAGAACAGGGCAGGTTATGCCCAGTGGAGAACATTGCCTGAATACAGTATTATGCCACAAACGTACAGGGAGACCACTCACTTATGCTACATTTGCTATTCTGGATATATCCAGAAAATCCCATGCTGGCTTTCAGCAACTATATTCCTGAAAATATCATTTATGAAATAATCTTCAATTAGAGGATGGTTTACAGACTGAGGTATAAGGATTTATCATTTATACTATCTTTATCCCATGTTGTTAGCATGGCCGTTAAATCGGTTAGTATGAATTAGCAAATGAAGCCAAACGTGTATTAGCAAGATAAATACAAACAGTAGCTCAAGTTTAACTCAGCAGAGTACCGGACTATATAGACTGAAATGAAATGCCCATTTACTCTTTGGCTAAAACGCATATTCTCAAGTGTTAGTGACTACCTATCCATAAAGCTAAAGAAATACTGATCTGAGGCATAGAGCTGTTCTAAATTCAGAAGAAGTATGCAACACTTAAGCATGTGTTGGGACATAAATGTGGTTCATTTGGGCTGGATCATGACCATCATCAATTATTTACCACACAACCCCTTATGGAATCAGAAAGTATTTGGATTTCTCAAGATGCATTTTTATAAAAGCATGTGAGGCAGTAAGTTAAAAAAAAGACTAAAGAGTCACAGGGGGGTAACAGCACATGAAAATGACATTTGGAGGTTTGCTTAGTTAGTTAGTTGGTTGGTTGGTTGGTTGGTTGGTTGGTTGGTTAGTTAGCTATTAGTAAAACAAAACATCAAAACAATAGCCCTCCTTGCCACAGACACATTTAAAAGGCTGTAGAATGTAAACCAGTCAAAGACCTGGTTGAAAATAGCACCAGCTGGTACTTAAAATTATTTAATGACGGCCCAAGGCGAACCTCCCTGGGGAGACCATTCCACAAATGGGGAGCCACTACAGAGAAGGCCTGTTCTTGTGTTGCCACCTTCCTGACCTCACATGGAAGAGGCACACAAAGGAGGGAAATGCTCCTAAAAGTTAGCATATTAAGTATATTAGAAACCTGGTGGAACACACCCAAAAAAGCCTCTGTCAAACAACGGGTGGTGCAATGGAGAGGGAACAGAGGGGAATTTCCAGACTAGGAGCAATGACATCATCTGCCAGAACGCTTGGGTAATTGACAGACCCTCCTTGCTCTGGGTTTCGCTTGCCCTAACCACTTTTGTAACATTAAAATAGCTACATTTTAAAACCTTATTGAGAATGAGGGCTCAGAGAGCCAACAGCCAAGTATGCCAATCATGAAACTGAATATAGTACCTGGCAGCATTGTTTTCAGAAAACTGCAACATAGGACCAAAGGAATTTAATCACTAATGTAGTGGGGGGCACAGGGTGGTGCAAAATTGTTAGGGATGCAAAATTTCAACACCAGCTGCTGCCTTAATACAGCTGCGCACTTTTGTCACTGGGCTCCATTAAAAACGGCTTCTCCATGCGAACCAGGAAGTGAGCTCTCCAGACAAAGGGACAACTCTGTTCTTATCTCTGCAGCGACACTCTCCTGGGTGACGCAGATACCATTAGGCTGTTGAATGCGCCCGCTACCCTGGGCACTGGCAACCCATGCTACGCCACTGCTTCAAGCCCCTCACAGTTAAGTGCCTGCTTTCATATTTTGTGTGCTATTGTTTAAAAAGGGTCAAGAAGCACCATTTTTGCTTTGATATCTGAGAAAATGCTTAACCACCTGTGGTTGTTGGTACTGTTATGGGGTTTGAGATGTAAAACTGGGGGCCAGACTCTTGTAATCCCTGGACCCAGCAAGTGTTAAGATCTAACCGAGGCTTCTAATTTTTGGAATAGCCCGGCTAGCCTCCTGGGGAGAGGTGTAAGGAAAACAAAGGAAGGGACTCTGTGGGAGATGGCAAAGCCACTTCCGAGCTAGGGAGGAGGTGGGGTTGCAGGCTTCATGCCCCTCCCCACACACGCGGGGGCGGGCTTTCAGCCCCCGCGATACCAGGGGAATCCTCGGATGTGTCATCCCCCTGGCCAGCCAATCGGCTGGCCTGGGAGGCGTGGCCTGCCCTATTTAGGGCTGGCGCGGCCAAGGATCTCCCTCTTTCCCGCACCTCAGCTGATCAGGTTTTCCCTCCCCTCCCGCCCATTAGGCTAGGCTCTCTGACTTTGCTATGGACTTCGGTTGGTCGCCATCGAGGGGCCTGGTAGGAATTTTTCCAATTGGCAGATTGGCACCAGCCACTTGGTTTTCGCCTACCTCGTAGCAAACCGTCACAACTCCCGGTATGGGCGGTTAGGCATTGGCAGGGGTATTGTTAAGCAGATGAAGGGGGGGGGAGGAAGTGCCATCACCTTCCCCCAAAACAAAGGGTAGTCCAGTAAAGGATTCCGGGGGGCGTGATCTTGTCCTAAGCCTATGGAGGTGTGGGCCCACGGCACGCCCCCGAGCGGTGACCCCGGGGGAGCTCCTAGTTGATGTGCATCAGCGGGACTCCCCTTACTGGTGGTTAACCCTTACCGGTCTTCAAGCAAGTGGGCTGAAGCTGGTTAGTTGACAGGACCAATGCCTAAGCCAATACTGCTCAATTCCTGTAATCAATAAAGTTGTGGCCTAATTTGACCCATTAACTCTAATTCTTGTGTCTCGTGTCTTTATTTCTGAGGGGGGAGACGGGAACTCGCCACGCAAATGAGTGCTGCCCCTTCCTCAGCTCACAGATAGTGAGGAGGACAAAAGCCAGAGTTTTTAGGAGTGATGTGACCTAGAGTCAAAAAGCAACAAGCTGGAAAGAGCAGCATTCAAGGGCAATGTTTGATGTGTGTTTGAATCCAAAGCTGTGGCTAGGGAGGAAACAAGACCCATTTGGGGTGTTGATGCTGTAGACCCCATTGTAGGCTCAGACTGCATATATGTGTAAATAAACCATATATCAAAAAGACGCCACAGTGTCTGCCGTGCCTCATTTCCAAAAGGAAACCTGGAACCCCAGGAATCTTGCACCGCTTAAGAGATTCAGTGGCAAGCAACACTGTAACATACATTTCCAACAAGGGAAGGAAATGCTGAATGGATACAGTTTATTTGTAAATTAAATAAATCTATTTCCTCCATGCCCTTGAGAGCTGGCTGATTTATCAGTTAATAAAATAATCATACACTATAGACTAGCGCTTCCAATTTATTTTAAAAAGAACCAACGTTGCATTTTTGACATATATGAATACAAATGTAACACAAGAGGAGACTTCGTTCAAAGCAATATATTATGTATCTATAGCTAGGCATGAGTTACAGTGCATTGCTTTGCCTCTACGTTGCTATTTCCAAGATTGATCTTATAAACACTAACTACCCGTGCTGCCCTTGCTTATGGGAAGTCCAATGGACCTCAGCAAGATTATTTATCTGCATGGAAATTATTCACACAAGTAAAAAAAACCCCACACAATCCAGCTGGACACAAATCAGTGATATGATTTTAATTATGCACTCTAAACTCCGTAGAAAACGCAAAGTGCAGTGCAAAAAGAATAAATCACTAAAAGCTGGCTCATCATTTTTATGTTCATTCAGAAAAAAAGCAACAATAGCAAATAAAGCACAGGGTGTAGTTCTTTTATGAGGAAAAAGAACCAGCAAAGTCAGTTCTGGGACATTATTATTATTATTATTATTCTACATCAATCATTATCATCATCATTATTAACAATACACTGTCTTAACATTTCCCCCCTGAAATTTTGACAAGAAAAAATAAATTCCCAATCAATATTTTTTTTAAAAAAATAAATGTCAAGTATCTCAAACAGTATAGTTAAAATCATTTGCAATGTATTTAAAACTTATTTCAGTAGCACTGGTTCATGCTTGCAGTTTTCTTACTGACACAGCTTCTTGCATTACTGAAGAGCTGCTCCCATGATTTTTTAAAAATTATATACTACCTTTATCGCCCAAGGTGATGTACACGGTCCTCCTTCTCCCCATTTCATCATCACAACAACCCTGTGAAATAGGTTAGGCTAAGAGATGGCGACTGGCCCAAGGTCACGCAGTGAGCTTCATGGATGAGTGGGGATTCGAACCCAGGTCTCTCCCAGGTCATAGTGCAACAATCTAACCATTACGCCACACTAGTTTTATGCAATCAGATCCTGATTGTTGAGGCATGACTGGGATCTAGATTTTTTAAAAACAAAACACCATTCCACCCTGCTGCTCTAATAATTTTTTTTTTCTAATACATACCATCTTGCAATTCCCACAGCTTTCTGAGCCCTCTCCTTTCTTTGTTATCTTTTGACGATTGTTTCCCACCCCTCCAGCTACTATCTCCCTCTGTTCTGCTCTTTGGGGACCATGAACACTTCTCCACAATTGAGCAGCTTTTACTACAAGTCCCTTTTAGCATTTTCTGAGCTTTGGGCTATATTCCTCTTGAGAGAAAATTTGTGGTGTGGGGCGGCGGCGGCGGCGCACCAACCGCCGGGAACTTTACTAGTTTTTAACTTACAAATCTCGAAGCTGAGTTCTCTCTTTTTCGAATGGATCAGTTTCCACAGTCCTCTCTGGAAGGAACATCTGGGGCCTTCGATCACGTCTGCTGACGCACAGGTAATTATCAGGCTGCCTCCTTTCCACTCGGTCAATATAGCTGAGAACTGTTGCTACTGGTTCTATTTCCCAATATTTTTCAGTGGAGTAAGGTTGGGTGAATATGTATACATTGCTTTCCACACACACACAAAGTCCTGAAGCTATTTATAGCCAAAGTAAAAAATTGCAATGCTGAAATCATAGTAAAAACAGATTTAGCTGTACAGTATCATGTTGTGCTACCCAATGCCCAGAGAAACAAAAAACAAACAAAAAACACTTTTGCATGGCACCAAAAAAACCACATTTGCCTGGCACTTGTCATATCATGACAAGGTTAGCACCAGTCGGGCCTCCCTTGGGAGAGCACTTTATAAAAAGGCAACTACTGAGAGGAGGCCCTCCGATGATGGTCTTAGGTCTGGGCATGTTCATATAGGGGAAAGGCAGTCCTGTAGGCATAGTTGCCCAGAGCCATATAAACAAACAAGAACCTGCCTAAGTCCCACTGTCAGCTTTATATATAAATGGGATGAGCACATGATTAAACAAATCTACTCTGGATGAATAGGCTATACTACCACTATCTAATGCGAAGCTGTCCTGTTACATCTTTGATTATGCTTTGCCATTGAACAAAAAAAGCTTTTGAAGAATCATAAAGTTCTTCCAAACAGGAGGAAAACTCTGTTTGCACCACTGCATAAAACATGAACAGCTCCCCCCCCCCTTCCTTTTAATGTTGCTCTTAACTCCTAATCATCAGGCATGATGGATGATCTTTCCTAGCGTTTGAACATTTTGTTTTATTTTTTTTCCAAGTGGTCATTTTATAATCACAATAAATGCTCTGGGCCAAGGGGTAGCGCTGATTAATCCACACCTCAGCTGTGCAAGAAGCAGGAGGTGAAACGCACCCAAGGTGTGCATTAATGAGCCCTCCTGTACAGTCTGTCATGTCTTACTGTTTAATTAAATCCCAAACCAAATAGTTTTGAAGAGAAGGTTAGGAATGAACATTTTTAATGTTCCTTTTTTGTTGTTCTTCTTTAAAGGATCTTCTTCACCAAGCAGGAGGAAGGGGGAGGGGACCCAGATATATTTAGAACAATATTTTAATTTGCAATACTTTGCTCGATTAGATGAAAATAATGTAATGTATTTTTTTATTTAAAAAAAAAGAGAGAGGGAGAAAAAATGTGATTAAGATGCTTAAGTGCACAGTATATTACATGAAATTTCTGATCATAAAGAAAGGTAATATCTACTCAAAATTATAATTTCTGTACTTCGAAATCATCTCAGCAAGAATTATCTACCCATATCAAATTGTAGCACTTGTCAAAATCAACTGTAAAGGCGCTCAAGTGCTCTTCTGAATCAACAAAACAGATGTATAGCGATGTGAGGTTGCAGCGAGATGGAAATAAAAGTGAACTATATGCCAGTCATTGCCCTTAATCTCTTGAACCCAACACTTAACAAAGTGGATATCACAGGTTTTTGAGACACTATTTATAATGTTTTCTTGTGGGGGGGGAGAGAATCAGGGCTTGAATCTTAATAATATATGCAAAAACACTCTATAAAATTATTTGCCTCTGGTTCTCCTAGACTGCAAAGCTCACCAGGACCGGTTCATAAACATGGAGCGGGGTGGGAAGGAGATCAGAATAGATTTCTCCAGCCTTTTCCGAGGTCAGGGAGAACTCCAGTTTTCTATTTAAAAAGTTAGTTGATCTGCTGGGTATAAAGGGGCCAAACACTCTGGGTAAAAGTACTGTGCCTCTGCAGTTTTTCAGTAGAATTTAACTGTACTGAAGACACCGAGAAAACCAGTGGATGCAATGAGATATTGTAGGCCAAAGCAGTGCGAAAAGTAAAGATGAAGCAGTCCTCAGAAGAGTGAGGAGTGTGGCTAGAGCTCTGGCAGGCAATAATTTTAGAAGTACAATGAGCTATTTCCTATCAGCTGTAACAATAAACTTGAAGCATGAGTCTAGAACGATATTGTTACATGCCACCCCAATCTCCAAGTGGTGCAATGTTTCAGTGTTCTTACTCAGGGTTCGTGTTTCCTTTGGGAATGAGGCACAGTGGAGCTTGGGGTGTCTTTATGATATATGGTTTATTTACACATATATACAACCAGAGCATATGATGCTTACAGCATTGACACCCATAAAAGCTTCTTGCTTCTCCCATAGCCACAGCCGCCTTGGATTCAAAAATATGCATGCTCTATCCAGCTTGCCGCATTCCACCAACTGCAACTATTTTCCTCCAGCCCATATCATCCCCAACTGAGATCCTAAAGTTCTCCACTCTGATTTGTATCTGCTAACCATCCAAGAGCTCAGGAGAGGGTCCACCCATTTGCCAGCTGGTACAGGCATTGCTTTGCTAATGGTCCATCTCCCTGTGTTTTTCTGTTAATGGCCCATCTCTCAGGAAATCTCCTGAACTCAGGAAGCTGAGTCCAGCTATTAAGCGTCTGACTGCCAGTTTAACTCTCCAGCATTGATTAAATTCTAACACTTAGTAAACCCAGGAATTATGTGTGTCTACAACCCACAAATTCATAACAATATAGTGGGAAGAGCTTTCTACCTCATTGCCATGGTCTTGATGGCACTATTCAGGGAACAGAGGAAGGACTAAGCAACTTATTGTCTTATGAGCCAATGGCCTGGCTTATGGCTTATGGCGCCAGTGGACTGAAGCAAGGCAGGGGAGAAGATACATGGATCTGAAAATGTGGCTATGGATCTAGCAGGTAGTGGCTGCTCCTTGGAAAGTAGATCCATGATCATGTGTCAAGTCCATGAGTAATTGGGGGGCCCTGGTCCCCCGCTCTAAGATCTGCATGGGTGAAATTAATTTCTATCCAGTGTCTTATTTGGACACATATTGCAACATGCCTAGCAATTACAAGACTCGTGTAACTAACTTATTTTTTTGTTAATTTATTACCTGACCAGTCAAACCTATTTTCCATTCTAAGCAAAATTGTAACATTCCTTTTAGCTTTCTAGGGATTTACTTGGCACAGTTGACACTGCAGAGTGACTATTATATATATCCATATGTGTGTGTGTGTGTTGTATTTCCATTTTCCTGACTTTGGGTATTCAGTGCTACACTAAGCAAAACCGCATTATCTGTATCACTCTCCTACTTACATTGTTGTTCCCAAAGGTTTACTTGTAACATTCACAGCACCATTTATTTTTCTCCTTTCCCCCCACTGTCATTTCTGTACAGATTTAATACAACAGAAACATGGCTTCCACTGAGAGCTACAGGTAGCGCCTTTCCAAAGTTCCCTATAATTGGTGTCTGCCATGCCAGCTGACAGCAAGTTATGTAAATCACAGCAAGGACCCTACAACCCCTAAAGGCATGACTATTTTTTTTTATTCAGTGTGGAGGATAACTACGGAATCTTAGTAATAGTACCCACCACCGAAGGGATCTCCTTAGCCGAGCAAAGTTAACCTTTCCAAACTGGCCGTGTTCGGTTCTGCAGTTTAAACCCCTCTTCTCTTAAAACATCCTTTTGATGGACAGTATATAGCTGGCATTATTTTCAAGGGTGTTTTCCCTTTTATGCTTTTGGAAGAGTCACATGCTTCTGTGTACATTTATTCAAAGCAGTAAGAATTCTCACATCTTCGAATAAAGATTGTCTTGCAGTATCTTGCGAACAGGACACGTGTTTACCTTTATCTGATCAAGGGCTTTCAGAAATCCCTCAGAGTCCTACGCGTGGGCAGCCAAACCACGGAAACCAACGAAGTATAGGGCAGGGAGTTTCTTTAGTTTGTTTGGTGAATGAAAACAATGTCCTTTATGGTTGAGTATGAGTATGTATTCAATAAATGTTTGCCTTTAAATAAAAAAATTCCCTGGGTGAATACTCTGGTGTGCTGTGCATGCCTATGATGGCATCTTTGTGGGATGGTGGTAACTTGTTCTGTTCTGAAAACCTCTGATTCAAAGCAGTCTTTGACTAATGATCTGCAACTGACCCCTTTAACCAGCCTTTTGCACGTTATCAAACTTGGACGATACAACAGCATAAGAGAAGATCAGACTAGGCAATGCAAGCAAACACACTTAACAACTCCCCAGTAGCTCCTTTTCCACAAAAAGGGACAACGTGGAGCAGGAAAGTGGCAGAAGGATCCCTTTTCCACCAACCACTTCTCTGCTCCCAACTGCTTCTCCCAGATGGGTTCCCAAGATTGTGATTTGTAATGAGAAGCAGTGTTGGGGGGGGGGGGAAGCTTAGGCAACTCTCCACTTCTCCATTTCACATCATCTTTCCCATTCCCACTTGTTCTGAAAACAGGTGTTTCTTAGACCTGTTTGTAATTTGACTCTTAGGGCTTGTCCACACCAGAGCAAAATGTGGGGTTTGCATTTGCCTGCCTCCCCATTAACATGACATCATTGCTGTCAACTTTTCCCTTTTCTTGCGAGGAATCCTATTCAGAATAAGGGAATTTCCCTTAAAAAAAGGGAAACGTTGACAGCTATGTGACATGCTCCCCATCCCATTATTGTCCCAGATCCCCCTCCCTTTAAACATGGGGACTTTCAATCCTTGGAAAGTCTGAATCGGGGCAGGGGGTGTGTGTTCTTATTTAAAGTGGGAAATGTCTGGGACAGCACTGGCCTGGAGTTCACATTTTGTTCCAGTCTGGACAGGCCCTTACACTCAGCCCTACTGTACACATGTTATGTGCGGATGTGCCTTGTAGAGAACAAGCAAGGGCTGTTCATTTTGGGCATGGGTTGGGTCAATAAAGGAGGTGTTAAGGGTTCCTTTGAACAGGACAGCTATTGCATTTCTGCAAAGGTCCTTCCCCATGTCGATGATGACATTGATTTACACCTGACAAGTACTTAAGAGGCTTCTATTGATGTGTGACATTGCCCTGCCTACACAACATTACCTGGGCTACCTCACTTTGCTCAGCTGCGACTCAAACAGCCGTGGGGAAGTCCGGCATGTATCCACACTTGTATTTGACAGACAGTTTTCTCTGAAAGAAGAAGCAAAAAAAGAGTGGTGTATTTATAAAATGGAACTAGAAGATTATCCAGATATTGCAATGGCTAGTGAACTAGATTTTAGTGTACACGACTGTCATATTATGCTTTGCGATAAATCCAACTGCAAACAAAAGTCATCTGCCATAGGGGTTTTTTTCTGGACAAATGAGCATTCTAATTAGCGTTAGCAAAACTAATTCACGAGAACACTCATGTGGCATTTATTTATATTCTTTTGTTTAAGATTAACTGTTTTCTTTCATTTTGTGCTCTGTAAGGAGCTACTTGAAAAGGTTGAACTGAAAACTCACCTTACCTCAGAATTACAGCCTAGAGATTTGACACTGGGAAGAGTGAAACATGTTCGGATGATAATGGACCTGCAGCTTATTTTTCAGATGTTAAAGTGGCTTAACAGTTCATTTATTTACCAGTGCTAAGACTTGTTTAAGGCTGCCAGAGAGCCATAGAAACACCTTTTAAAATCCATGAAAAGTATCATTATTTCTTCCTCACTGTCCAAAAATCAAGCTGCAATAGCACAGTTGCAAAATGTCTCTTGAGATTCCTAAACTAAGAATGTGTTGGGCCTGGAATATTCACTCCCTTTTGTCATTTGAGTCCAAAGGTAGTCGAGTGAATAATACATATTTTACCTCATTATCCAAGACTCCAAACTGAAGGTTAGATTTAGGCTAGTTCTGACTGAGCCGTAAGCCTTTTTCCAGGTTGAAGTCATTATTGTCTGGAAAAAGAAATATATATTGGAGGAGGGGTAAAAGGAGAAACAAGTGTTATAAAAAATTTGCATCACCTGAAGTTATGTCAAATGAGTTATGATATGGAATACTGTCTTTGACATGAAGCATCACATCTTGTAAAAAAAAGGAGGGGGAAGGGGAGGGAGGGGGGATACTGAAATGTTATATTCCAAAATTGTGGTATGGTTAACTTCATGGGCTGGAATTGTTTTTCTACCCTTTTATGACCTTTCAAATAAAAGGTAGCTATTGCACTTCTCTCTCTCTCTCTCTCTCTCTCTCACACACACACACACACACACACACAAATATTGGGCCTGTTCAAAACTTTTCACAGTTAATTAGTAATGCATGTATCAAAACACTCACCCTACCTCTGAGCCTTGGGGGATTGTCCTGTTCTACTGCAACTGATTTATTTTTTAAGGTTGTTTGGCACATCTCCACCAAAAACGCTTCCAAGAAACTTGAATCCAGCATCAGCTGGGAAAGATCAGCTTCACATGCTGACATACAGAGGCAGTTTTTGGAAGATGCAGGCCTCCAGTTTGACACATCAATGAAGACTTATTGAGCCTGTATTATGCTAAATCCTGCTATTCAAGGTTTTAAACCCTGTTAGAGAGGGCTGAGTGCAAGTCCTTACCTGGTTACCTTGCTAAGCTGTTCCTAGGCTAGGTACACCCAAACGTTATGTCCTTTTGGTTTCTATTTTCATTGAAAGGGTAACGGGTGACATGTTTATATATATATATATGTATCTAACCTAAAGCTGCAGTTTCTCACATTTTTGCCCTAGACCAACATTACCACAATAAGCACAGGCCACGCTGTAACTTGCAAAATAGGAACAAAATGGGATGCAGTGGAAATGCAAAAGGAGAAATACGAGTCACTCACGTGTTCTCTTTTAGTGTTTCAAGGATATAAATGTTTAGAATGGGATGCAAGAACTAGGCACCACAAAGGAACCCAAAATGCTGTGTTAGTAAGGGGTTAGCAGCTGTATCAGCTGGCATAATATAGCCAGGGTTTTCACGGTACTGTTGAGTAGTGCAGAACTGCAGAGTGTAGTTGGCTTTAGACTGAAAAAGCTTCTTGATCACGGCGTTTTGGCAATATTATTTTTTTAAAAATATTTTTATTAAACAATTTCAACATAACAAATTATCAGTCCAAATAAACAATTACATTATTTTCCCCTCTCCCCCCATGCCTCCCTCTCCCTTCCACTAAGGACTTCCCTTAGCTCCCCTCTGATTTCCTTGCACATATTATTCTCTGCGTGTTATAAACTTGTACATATCCTTGCCTTATCTAGGGTGTGTTCCACTAAAAAATTTGTGGATGCTTATTCAAAACCTGTCAAGGAGTCCAGTTCATTTTGATGTCTTTTTAGGTAATTTGTAAAAAGTTCCCGTTCTTCCTTGAAGTCACAATTGTCCTTATCACATAGTTTGTATGTCAATTTGGCCAATTCCGCATAGCTCATCAGTTTTTCTTGCCACTGTTCTTTCGTTGGGATTTCCTCATTCTTCCATCCTAGTGCTAGCAAGACTCTTGCTGCTATTGTAGCATACATAAATAAGTTCTTTATTTTTCTTGGCAGGTCTTGTCCTACAATCCCTAACAAAAATACTTCTGGTTTCTTTACAAATGTCATTTTAAACATTTTTTTCAATTCATTATATATCATTTCCCAAAAAAATTTAACTTCTCTACATTCCCACCACATGGCGTTTTGGCATTTTGGCCAACACAGAATTACATATTTTGGCTCAATCCTGTGAGCATAACATTTGGCAGTAACCTGTTATCGTAGGATTGGAGCTAGCAGGTAATACAGTGAAATGAACATATGCGACTTGAGCAGTATAGCTATGAGTTCACAAGCTGATCTGTGTTCCATTGTGTAAGACTTTTGTTGTGTTACAGACCTCCCGGAGAGCAATAACCTGTTATCACGGGGGAAGCATGACAGAATAAACAAACAAAATAAACCCGCCACTAATGCACTATTATTGCACCAAGATGCAGACCCTCCAAGTGTACCTATTTTTCAGAGACAGTCCCAGATTTACAGAAGCCATCCTGGTTTCTGATTGGATCCCAGAATGTCCTGCTTTTCCTTAGGACGTCCCTATTTTCATTGAAGAAATGTTGGGAGGGCATGGCGACCCCCAAGCCAAGGAGGTAAGTAACTATACAACCTTTTAGAAGACATCTTGAAGGCAGCAGTGTATAAGGAAGCTTTTTAACGTTATGTTTTTGTGTATGTTGGAAGCCGATCAGAGTGGCTGGGCCAACCCAGTCAGATGGGCAAGCTATAAAAAATAAAATTATCATTATTATGGAATAGGACGTCCCTATTTTCATCGGAGAAATGTGGGAGGGTATGCAATAATATTTTGCAGAGACACCAGTTTGGAGAGACCTCTGGTTCGTTACTGTGTCCACACTGTGTTTGCTCTCTAGTCCTCCCTTCAGTCCAACTTATGGTTCACCCTTCAGTCCTGACTTCTGGACCTGACCACAGCTGCCTTAATACCTTTTCCTGCCTCCCCCTTGGGTCTGGCACATGACATGATTATTGACATTGACCTTTTGTCTCAACTACTGGCTCCCAGCTCATGGCTCTTCTTGAGCCACAGAGGTTTGGAAGTGGTCTTTAGCTGGTTTGGAATGAGGTAAAGAAGAAAATGGTGGTGGAAAATCAAATTAATAGCACAAATTCAATTTGAAAGAGCAGAAAAATATTTAATAAAGCGTTCCCCACAAAATAGTAGCAAAAACAGCCTCACACATAATTAAAAGCCAGTGTGGTGTAGTGGTTAAGAGCAGTAGACTCCTAATCTGGGGAACCGGGTTCGCGTCTCCGCTCCTCCACATGCAGCTGCTGGGTGACCTTGGGCCAGTCACACTTCTTTGAAGTCTCTCAGCCCCACTCACCCCACAGAGTGTTTGTTGTGGGGGAGGAAGGGAAAGGAGAATGTTAGCAGCTTTGAGACTCCTTAAAGGGAGTGAAAGGCGGGATATCAAATCCAAACTCTTCTTCTTCTTCTTCTAAAAATAATAATAATATCAGGCTATGTGGCTGATATGGGACGCGGGTGGCGCTGTGGGTTAAACTACAGAGCCTAGGACTCGCCGATCAGAAGGTCAGCGGTTCGATTCCCTGCGACGGGGTGAGCTCCCGTTGCTCGATCCCTGTTCCTATCAACCTAGCAGTTCGAAAGCACGTCAAAGTGCAAGTAGATAAATAGGTACCGCTCCGGCGGGAAGGTAAACGGCATTTCCGTGCGCTGCTCTGGTTCGCCAGAAGCGGCTTAGTCATGCTGGCCACATGACCCGAAAGCTGTACACCGGCTCCTTCGGCCAATAAAGCGAGATGAGCGCCGCAACCTCAGAGTCGGCCACGACTGGACCTAATGGTCAGGGGTCCCTTTACCTTTACCTATGTGGCTGATATTTCTAAAAATATAATGGAGAACCATTAGAGAGGGATCCTTCAAAGTGGGATCACCTTTACTTGCTGTGACTGCATTGTGGTGTATCCAGCACGCTGGCATATTCAGTTGGAAGTGGAGGGTTGGGATGAAGTCTTATGAGGAAGCTCATCAGGCCACGCTGACGAAGCAGGATTGGATCCTACATGTATCTGCAGAAACATTAGTTTTTGGAAGAGGAAAAATGAGGGTGGGGGGAACAAAAAACCCACACACTGCATCAGGATAATGAAGCACTGACAAGACCATCAGATCTTTGATTAAAACAATACTTTCAGGTTTTATATTCCACTTGAAAATCTCACCATTTAGTTATGCAACATTACTCAGTTTAACTGTCTCTTTATGTTCTTCTGTGATTGGATGCATATACTGAGAGGGCATTTCTAGCCCTCTGAGAGACGAAGGCTGCATTTTGTTAGGATAACAGACTTGTTATGTTCCATTCAGCTCAACACCATTGAGCTTCTGGATCTAGAATTGCCATCTGCTGCCAAGATTAATATACAGTCTTTTCTTCCTCAGTCTTTGGGTAGCATTTCACAATTTAAATGATCTCTCTGAAAGTTGGCTTCAGTTTATGAACTGCTAAGCCTACGGTAGAAATCATATTTGAATGTGGGTGGGATGTCATCAAGCTATCATCTTGGAGGCTAGCTTTTCTCTCAAAATCCTTATCACTTGGAATACGGTGTGTTTGCTCATTTCAGAAGGAACATTTATGGAATATTTTGTTGTGAATGGGGGCTCGCTGAAAGATGGTGAACAGATCAATCTGGCAGTAAAAGTCCTCAACCATAAAGGTGGTCTAGGGATACCATATACTCAACAGGACTTTCTATTTTGAGAAAAACCAAGAGACTTCTGTGATTCTCTTGTCTGGGGGTGGGAAGAATGCTTCTTTCCCCCCCTTATTGACATTGTCTTCTACACGTTCCCTTTCACTCCTTTTAAACTATATGTAAAATTACTTTATATTCGGGTGTTGTTGTTTTTTAATTTATATTAGCCAGCACTTGGTACAAAAGTCTAAAGTTCATGCAAGTTTAAATATCAGGTAGGAAATACTAAGATGACAAGTATTCATGTATTCTTATGTCACCTGACATATAGCGAGCAGTCTGATGAATGATTCAGGTTTTAAATGGTAATTTCCATTCATCATTATAATGGACTTGCTAATTCATAAATCCGTGGTCAGCCAATTTTCTATTTTTAAAAAAGGTTAAAAATAAAAGTAGAAGACAAAAATTGGTTTGGATATGTGTGTGTCTTTTTCTTTGAGCAGTTTTGTTATGTACCAAAGTGTTTCTTGATACAGCAAGAAGCTGTATCACAACCGGCCAGAGCTGTTGTTTTCTTCCTGGAAGTGGGCTACGGTTGGGTGGAAAGGAAGGAGAAACGACAAGCAAAAGGTATAATGGAGAATACTTTTAGGAAACAATGCCTCCTGCAAAGCAACTTCTATGAGTAGCACAACATAGCCCCCAAACCTCACTTTCCATTAGCATATTTAGTCCGACATTATGGAACAACTATTGGTTCAAAATGGGGAAAGGAGTACGATAAGGCTGTATATTGTCTCCCTGCTTATTTAACTTATATGCAGAATTCATCATGCGAAAGGCTGGACTGGATGAATCCCAAGCTGGAAATAAGATTGCCGGAAGAAATATCAACAACCTCAGATATGCAGATGACACAACCTTGATGGCAGAAAGTGAGGAGGAATTAAAGAACCTTTTAATGAGGGTGAAAAAGGAGAGCTCAAAATATGGTCTGAAGCTCAACATCAAAAAAACTAAGATCATGGCCACTGGCCCCATCACCTCCTGGCAAATAGAAGAGGAAGAAATGGAGAGATTTTACTTTTTTGGGCTCCATGATCACTGCAGATGGTGACAGCAGCCACGAAATTAAAAGAAGCCTGCTTCTTGGGGAAAAAACAATGACCAACCTAGACAGCATCTTAAAAAGCAGAGACACCACCTTGCTGACAAAGGTCCGTATAGTTAAAGCTATAGTTTTCTCAGTAGTGATGTATGGAAGTGAGAGCTGGACCATAAAGAAGGTTGAGCGCCAAAGAACTGATGCTTTTGAATTGATGCTGGATGCTGAAGTTCAAACCTATCCACTCTGAAGGAAATCAGTCCTGAGTGCTCACTGGAAGGACAGATCCTGAAGCTGAGGCTCCAATACTTTGGCCACCTCATGGGAAGAGAAGACTCCCTGGAAAAGACCCTGATGTTGGGAAAGATGGAGGGCACAAGGAGTAGGGGACGACAGAGGACCAGATGGTTGGACAGTGTTCTCGAAGCTACCAACGTGAGTTTGATGAAACTGCGGGAGACAGTAGAAGACAGGAGTGCCTGGCGTGCTCTGGTCCATGGGGGTCATGAAGAATCAGACATGACTAAACAACCAAAAGTCCTACATAAAATATGAAGGTGGTAACTATCTACTGTTTGCCTGCCTGCCACATTTGAATCTTATTGGCTGAGCTGCTGTGATATCACCAAATGTTCACAAATGTTTTGCCTGCTATGGGGAAGGTGTGATCAACACAGTACTGGCAAGCAGTGGAAGAAATGAGCATCCAAGGACAAAAACATCTCAATGGGTTGTGTGTCTACACACCAGTATGTAGGCCTCATCCTATGAGCTGTTATTAAGTTTTATCTGGATGCCAAAGTCCATGGCCTTCTGGTCTGGACATACTCTAATTCAGACGGAAGTCGCCTATTCCCACATACCCAGGAATAAGCTCTATCGAAAGCAATAGGATTTACTTCTGAGTAGACATGGCTAGAATTGCACAGTCATTAAAATGTCAAATCAAATATATATCATTATCTTTCTTAGCTAGCATAATGTAATACTGAAAGAAAAACATGCCTTACTTCAATTTTTTTTTAAAAAAAACCCAACCTACCTTAAACAAACCTTGCATATAGAAAAAAGAAAAATGAAGCTTTACTTAAAGTCCTAATTTGCAGTGTGTTAAAACATAAAGCAATTTATAGAGTAAGAAGGAACAGCTTTTTTTTCTTTGGCTATTCTATTAAAATACTATGTTCACTCTGAGTGAAAGTTTAATAATTTTAATGCTGAATTTTACTAAGAGAATATAGCAGGGCTTCATCTATTTGCATAACTTTTGTTCCTGTTTTTTTTTTTTTTAAACCAAAGGCTTGGAACATGAAATATAAAAATGTCATGATTAACAAGGATCACTGTATTTTTATATATTTTTTTGTTTTCCTGGGGATACTAAGCATAAAAAATGGGTCAGCTATCAGGTCATTTGCAAAGGGGAATTAAATTGGAACAGAATGAATCAAAATGCTTTGTTCAGCCAACTACATAATCAAAGGATAAAGATTCCAACCGAACAATTTAGTATCCAACTTCCCTAAGTAACCTTTTTTGTTATAAATCACAATATTTCACTTCAGAGTTAGCTAAAGTTAGTTTTAGATTTTGGGATGAAGCACAATGGGACAGAGTTTTTGCAGATCGCTGGGGGCCTGTGTGTTTTGTAAGGTCACACATTTAGGGGTATGGTGACATCATGACAGAAGCCCAGGAGAGGGCCACCAAGTCAGTGGAACATTGAAAAATGCGTCCTGATCACAATTTCCCTGCTACTGGTTATTACTATAAAAGTACATTTAAAAGAATCAAAATACAAAGTGTTCCCCAGTTCACCAGTACTTTGATGTTTTGTAAGATTCAGTATCTTAGAGCTTCTCTGTTGTAGAATGAAAGTATTTTAGATTTTTTAGACGTACAGCTTGACTTCAAGGTGGCATAGCTGTTTTTGAATAGTGGGCTCATAACAATGAAATTAACTCCTCTGATCATGTATGCAAAAAGAGAGAGAGAGAGAAAATTCAAACCTGGGTGCCTAAGGTTAAGCACTTGAATAGGTATGTACAGGATATGGCCTTTGGGACTTGGAACAGTGGCCAGATTTTCAAAGAAGCAGAGCAGCTGCAGTTCCCATGAATTTACTGTAGAACTTAAAATCAATGGAAGCGGTGGGTAACCATCCTATTTATTTCCACCACAGGAAACATTCCTTTTATATCCTATAATGGGTAAAATGTGTGGTTTTGTACATTAGTCTGCACTTTTAAAGCCTGATGCAGCCATCTTGAAGTTAAATTCAGAAAAATACACTGTTTTGAAAGTCTTAACTAAAAACTCCATGCCATACCTGACTCAGGTGGCGTTGGACAGGGCTGATGGACTGCTGCAAAGCCATTCGGCCATTGCTGAAATAGTTCTTTCAGCTGCTTTTAGACTGGACTGGAAGAAGAAGAAGTACAGCGCATCTTTTATTTCCCTCTTTATTTCAGGCAAGACATAGATTTTTTTTTATTTCATGCAAGACATCGAAGGCATTCAAATATTATGCCCTCCACACACAGCAGTTTCCTGAATTTCCCCCACCCCATTTATATTTTAGGAAGAACCACACATAAAGGGCAAGGCTTGAAATCAGCAGGTCTATTTTTATTTGACATAGGATATCTCCCGAACTATATATCAAAGATGCTACAGAAAGGGATTTTCATATTTCAGGTCAGGAGAGACCTACTATTCAAATAAAGGTGATTTTTCTCCAGGTCTGGGCATTCACTCGTCCACGTGGCAAGTGGAACAAGGAAGGGAACAAGGTGAAAGAGCACAAGCTCGAAAGGCTGCTCCCAATTTCACCCTGTGTAGAAAGAGGCTACCCATAGCCTAGTATTGCAATCACTTTATTCAAGGCCATGAGAGGAAACTTTTGCCTCTGTGCATATTTTAGTAGAAACATCCAACACTTGAACACCATTCTCCGGCTGCTTCCAGATTTCTTTATTATAGAACTTTGTTAGAGGGAAGGATTTGCTCCATGGTCAACCTCCTACCACCATTCCCCAAGCAGATTAAGCATGGGGAATTTGCATTGAGGAAAGTATTGGTCCACAAGATGGCAGCTTCCAAACTCCCATGACACCAAAAATAAAAATAAACCAAAATTTTAAGGTACCAGGGGGAAAAAAACCCCTACCTATTTGCCCGTAATTTGGCAGACTTTGTCCACTCTGGAGGAGCAAATATTGCCTGCAAGTTTCATGTACTTATGTCAAAAATAAAAGCGTCATAGCCACTTATCTCAAGAGCGAAAGGGAAAGGCAAACCACCTCTCAGTCTCTCCAAAGTGGACTTGAGCTGAATGGGACTGATTCAGAAGCACTTTGGAGAGAAGCACAAGGTTTCTGAAGTGCCAAATCAGGATTTGAACCAAGTCTTATAGTTGGTGCACACCCTGCGTTGATACAAAGCCAATTTCAAATCAAGTCAAGGAAAGTTGTCCATTTCTAAACACAGCCAAGTGCTGGACATACCAGCTATCTTTACCCACAATAGCTGCTTATAAATATCACGAGTTTCCATGGTTTATCTGGATAAATACACAAAGAGGCCTTACATAAAGCAAAAGGAACTGGCATATTTTCCTAAAGCTGGAAATATGCTTTTCTATTATTGTATGCAGATATAGAATAATACACTCTGCATTTATGCTACATTACTGTGAGAGAATTACTGAGGTTAAAGTTAAAGTGCTAATTACTTTTTGAGAAAGGCACGAGTGACGAAAACATTAAAAAGAGAGAGGAATGTATGGCTAGTTGTATTAAATAAAATGTTATAAAATAGGGGAGGTTGGTGGGTTTTTGTTTGCCTTATTTAATGGCTTACGTTCTTGGAGCTCAGCACAGGATTTTCCGGTCTCTACTCAACAGAAGAATATTCTCTATTTTAAAGAAGAGGGCTGGTAGCTGTAGAGCCAATTCAAACTTCTACTTCCTCCTCTAGAAGAAAGACCAATGAATGTTTAACTTCTCTGGTTTAAATTCTTTATTAAAAAGCAAGAGTTTGCATTGGCAGAGAAACTGCTGTTGCAAGCTGCTAGCGCGTCAACATCACAGTTTTGATGTATTTTTTAAAGACCTTGATATATTGCCAGGCACTGCACAGGAGAGAGGGGATGGGGGAAGCTGTTATAGAGTCAGTATTTGTTGCCTTCATTGACTTAGGTAAGTAAATAAATATGAACTGATCCTCAAAGCAAGGTGAGACAGAGACAACAAGTTGATGCTGCCATGGGTGGGTCATCCAAAAAAGCAATGACATGCAACAGGAAACCACAGTTATTTGGAGTGGTATGACTAGCACGATTCTGAAGAAAATGGGCCCCATAACTTTAACAGAAAGCTCTGCTCCTTCTGCTCACAAGCGAAATAATTGTGTGCAGTTAATATACCACTTAGCTAGCCCTCTTAAAAATTATAGCACCAGGGCCCTGAAGTCACAATATGGCATTTCAACTATACGTACTGAGTTTTCACATTTAATATCTCAGCCATGTTGGCTTCTTTACACCTAAAAGTTGGCGGACACAGCTGCCTATCCAGAATTTATTTATTTTTTGATTGCTTAAAAGTACTAAAGGTGTGGCCAACAACTGGTTCTAAGGTGGCTTTGAGCATTCCTTAAATTCTACAAGCTCATTTTATTTTTAAATTAAATAAACAGTTCAATTGCCCCTTTTCGTTTATTCTCATAGCCTATTGATCTTAATAATCTGGGACAAAAGAAAAATTTGAATTGCCATAGAGGTTTTTCCCCCTGTTCATAATGGGATACCAATTTATTTGGGGATGAAATACTATCTGCTGCTGTAGCTTGCAACCTGCAAGCAGTGCCAGTTTCCAAATCGGAAGAGGAAGTCTATGCCACACTAGATCTCTGGGAAGTATTTGTCTTGGATACCAAGATGGTATAAAAATGTATTGAGGCCTGTGAAAGTTGCAGTTGACCTTAAGCATAAAGGTGGAGTCTTGTCTGGAAGACCACTTCAGCCCAATGAAGGATGCAAATATTGGAATGAGACTTATTCCAGACACAGGGTCTGCCACTAGCACCATGAAAGAGTTTGTCGTCTTATCTGAATGGCCGTCATGGGACAGTTCTTGAAGGAGTCTTAAATATGAAGAACCATGAGGAAAGAGAGCAGGGACACTGAACTTTTCCATCAACAGTTCATTACTCAGACAGCAGACTGAGGTCACCAGGGCTGGAACTAGACACAACAAAGCAGTGTTTCAGTTTAAAGCAGGGGTCAGCAAACTTTTTCAGCAGGGGGCCGGTCCACTGTCCCTCAGACCTTGTGGGGGGCGGACTATAGTTTTCTTGTGGGGGGGGGGAACAAATTCCTATGCTCCACAAATAACCCAGAGATGCATTTTAAATAAAAGCACACAGTCTACTCGTGTAAAAACACCAGACAGGCCCCACAAATAACCCAAAGATGCATTTTAAATAAAAGGACACATTCTACTCATGTAAAAACACGCTGATTCCCGCACCGTCCACGGGCTGGATTTAGAAGGCGATTGGGCTGGTTTAGTTTGCCTACCCATGGTTTAAACCATTGTAAATTTAAACAGGGAAAACAGGTAGAGAAAACTGGGACTCCATGTCTCCATCTGGTGGCACATGTTATATCGCACATACAACACGTATAAATCGCTTTTTCTTTACCAGTCTAGCTGAGTCCCAGTATTTCTATTCCAGTTATAATCACTGGTTCTGAGTTTGCATCTAGGCCTATAAATTAGAACATGCAAATTGTATGCATATTGGTATCCTATTTTGCTTTCTTTTTGGTGAAGTATTTCACATTTTAGTGATACATAACTCGTCTGAGGACATCTGTGGATGAGGGGTAGGGAGACTGAACTGTGTGCGTCTCCCAAACTTAAGTGAGAGGAGTTGAGTACTTCCCTGTGGTTTTCGTTTCGTCTCTTGCCCTGTGTGGCAAAGAGGCCAGACCCAATGCTTTGAAGTCCCAACAACCAGCTGACTGACCAAGTGTCAAAGTGCCACATCACCTGATGTAATCATTATGTCAGGTGACCATTAGGTGGCTGGCTCCTTCGCTCCCTCTTCCAGTGAGCAGATAAGGAAAATAACATGTTAAAAAAAACACTTGCTGCCATGCTAGGATCAGGAGGAGGAGCTTCAGCCTCAACTAAATTGCTCTCTCCAGCAACTGACATAATTTGAATATCCTGAAGGCATAAAGTTGGAAATCAAAATTTAAGCCTCGGGACAGGTGAATTCTTGAAGAAATCTCCAGCACATTTTCCTACAACCAGGGGTTTTTTTATAGTGCTCTCAAGAGAATAAAAGAAATAAAGTCATTAAGATTAATCTACACTGAACTTCTTTTGCTAAGCCACAGAGTGTCAGTCTTGCTGTTCAACTTGTCCAGCTTCTGTGTTTTTCTAAGAGGCCAGAAAAGAACTTGGGGTTTTTTGGACAAACACATCTTCCCCTGCAGAGCTGAATCCCCCCCCCCAAAAAAAAAACTTGAAAGCCTGACAAATTTTCAGGTGTCAAAAGTCAAGTTTCAATGTAATTTGCCTCCGATTAGCATTATTAATCAATGGAGTCTATTCTAATGTGAGTGATTTTACTTTCTTGGGCTCCATGATCACTGCAGATGGTGACAGCAGCCACGAAATTAAAAGACGCCTGCTCCTTGGGAGAAAGGCGATGGCAAACCTAGACAGCATCTTAAAAAGCAGAGATATCACCTTGCCAACAAAGTAAAAACCATATAGTAAAAGCTATGGTTTTCCTAGTAGTGATGTATGGAAGTGAGAGCTGGACCATAAAGAAGGCTGACTGTCGAAGAATTGATGCTTTTGAATTATGGTGCTGGAGGAGACTCTTGAGAGTCCCATAGACTGCAAGAAGATCAAACGTATCCATTCTTAAGGAAATCAGCCCTGAGTGCTCACTGGAAGGACAGATCGTGAAGCTGAGGCTCCAATACTTTGGCCACCTCATGAGAAGAGAAGACTCCCTGGAAAAGACCCTGATGTTGGGAAAAATTGAGGGCACAAGGAGAAGGGGACGACAGAGGACAAGATGGTTGGACAGCGTTCTCGAAGCTACAAACATGAGTCTGACCAAACTGCGGGAGGCAGTGGAAGACAGGAGTGCCTGGCGTGCTCTGGTCCATGGGGTCACGAAGAGTCGGACACGACTAAACGACTAAACAACAACAACAAATCAATGGATTCTATTCTAAAATATACTAACTTGCACTGAAAGATAACACAAGTTCAACCTTAAGCTCTGGGACTTCCTCTAATTTTTCCATCTTAGGTTTAAGTCGACACATTCCCAAAAATGCAAATATGG